GTTGCATCCAGTGGGGACATAATTATGGATTATAATGACTTATACTGTCTTTTTACGTGTTGCGTTGCATCGCGCCGCGTAAACATAAAACCATGTCTGCATTTGTGATCGGAGAAATGACAAACAACAAGCCCTACTCTACACTGCTACAAACTCACGTTTGAATCATCAGTGGCAAATTCTTTATATATAAAAAACTTACTTACAGACTATCAGTCAGAACAGCCGGCATTGTAGTCTACTCTACCAGGGTCAGTAAACAGTCCTCCATAAAATGTGCAGCACACATCTGAATATTTGGGTTGAAGTGTTCTGGAACAGTGTTGTAAATACAACTTAACCACTGATTTCTAGTTGTGTCCTCTTTTGGAAGGCCAAGCAAAGTAGTTTCGCTTTCACAACGAAACAGCGTCACACACCGCGGCCTTGAGTGAGCGGCGGACTAGAGTATGCGGAGGCCGGCTTGAGTGAGCAGAGGCGGCGGGCTTGGGAACGGCGCGGCCGGCAGATTCGACGAAGGAGCGTCCGGCGGGCTTGCGGCAACCACATGTGACGACCCCGGGCTGGACTCCGCTTCGTCCACGGTGAAAGCTGATCCGGTGATCCACAGAGCGAAGTTTATGTATTTCCTCAGCGACCAGCACGGATCAGCTCTAGGCATGACGAAGCGGATATCATCCTCTTTTGGAAGGCCAAACAAAGTAGTTTCGTTTTCACAACGAAACACGCGGCAACAACAATACTACAGCGAGAATAAAAGTTACGCCTTCTTTCTTTGCGTGAACATTTGGGTGGTGTTATGCAAATCTTCCCACAGATATGTGGGGGTGTGTTAGAACGAGCCGTTTTAGGTAGGCGTGGTTGGCTCTTAACTTTTATAAAGAATATCTCTTTGGATTTGAGACTTTAGTCTTTGCGACTTTACAGATCTTTATGCACCAAGAGCTTGTAACACTCCAAAGAGAAAGAAAAAATTGAAATCGCATCATATGGCCCCTTTAATGTAATGTCTCTTTAACACTAGAACTACTGGAATTCTATAACTACTAGAATGGCCATAGCGGTCATTCTGACCGTTCATACTAGACTGAACTGAATGCCATTTTTGTCATATCATATTTACATTCGAAGCTTCTTTTGAGGTTTTACAATGAAGCTTTGAATGTCTGTTGTCATATTTTATGACATATTTTATGTTTGGATCAGATGAATTGGAAACAATTATTTGCAGCCACCACTGGAATCGTGATCCATGAATAAATGGATCTATTATAATAGTATAGGTAATAATAAACCGTCATTGTCGCTAAAAAAAGCCTAATTAGTTTGTTTTATTTCACAATATCAGTCTTGTCGGGGCTAAAATTAGCCTATATGCATTAGCTATAGCATTACGCTAGCATAAAAATAATAATAGCCATTATTATTATTACTATTATTATTATTATTTTTGGCTATTTTATCATTACAACTTTTAGCCTAACATATGTACCTGGAACCGTGGCAGATTGAATGACAGCAGTTGTTGTATTGGAGTTGTCCACCTGGCTTTTTTACAAATGGGAATTTTAGCTTAGCAATAGAATATAAAAACAACTAGGACAAAAGTTGCTAGGCAACAGTGACGTGCATTTTCAACCGCGGGAAAAAGTCGCAAAAGCAGAAATCATATGCCGTCTGTAATGCGAACGGTCAATTTGACCGCTTTGGCCATTTAAGGGAGAAATACTCAGAACTCTTTTGTGTTTTGTAATTTTAATAAAATAACAATGTTATAATAAAATATACACACATTTAGGAAAAGTCAGGGTATTATAGTTATATGGGTTTTATTTCAGCAAAGTTATTACATTTTAAAATTTAAAAACGGTCAAAATGACGGCCATGAAACTTACAATATTAAAACGCAATTTATTAAAAGTTTAACAAAAATTACATTTTTAAGGCCCTTTTAAATGTTAGATTTTTTTTTCAAAGTGTCTGTCAAATGCATAAATGTCATGTTGTGTTTTTATTTTTATTTTTTACTGTTCATTGCTATTTATTTTACTATAGTCAGAGGCATTGCTAGACAGGGCCATGAGCCTGAGTAAAATACTGCTGTTCCCCATTAAAATATTATTAACAAAACTGTGTTCTTTTTGATTCACTTTGATTCATTCGGACAGTTCCCTCATGCAATGAATCGTTTGCAACTGTTTCTCTCTCCAAAACCTTAAGGGATTACTTTATAAGACAGAAAACAAACAATCAAAAAATGGATGAGGTGGATATGTACCTTAAATCCACTGTAGGAAACAAAACTTGCAAATGTCTTCTATTGTTTGTCAGTGACAAAGCAGTTTTTATTGCGTGTACAGCTTGTAAACAACTCTCTACTGCAGATAAAGCCAATTTATATGCAAAACATCGTCAAAAAATATCAAAATATGGGGACACTTTTCGATGTGCCCCAATACTAATGAAAGGCTAGAAATGACTGTAGTTCTTAATTGCAGGAACAAGCGATATGTGTAACGTAGGCATATTCCTTTACTATCCTAGACTAGCCCAAGAAGATCTCCATGCCACCCCCGTGGCTCAGGCAGTAACTGGGGCAGCCGCAGGTCAAGCTGGAACAGCTTAGGACGGGCGCCGAGTTTGAAAAGGAAGGACACGTCTGGGGAGAGGGAGTCTCTGCTGTCTGGGGACGGCAGGGGCAGCTTTGAGGACGAAGACTTGGAGGGGGAGAAGCTGGCCAATATCAGTGGGAGCTCACTGCAGCATCCCAGCTCTCTAGATATCCCTGAGCTGCCCCAAACCCCCAGCTTCAGCTCACTGGGAGACTACCACGACTGCAATGGAAGAAGCCTGCACCTGCCCACTGACCTGTCCGCCAACCTCAGCAAGGAAGACTCCATTGCAGAGGAGGACATGGATGATGTAAGTTATGGTTTAATGCTGTGTTGTTTGTTATAGTCAGGCAGTGCTTATGACTTGCTTTTCGAAGATGTCTTCCCAGGGGTTTGTCTTGTGAGGAGACAAATTGGCATGTTGTAATTGATTCAGCCCCGTAGTCTGAAGGCAGTAATTGTTTTTCTTGCTGGGTGAAAAGTGACCTTTATTGGTGTCAGAGTGATGATATCGGCTCACTCAAGAGGCCTCGTCTTGAAATTGAGTTTCAAGTGCTGTGAAATAAACAGAAACCAACAGGGCTACACTACAGGCTTACATACAAATAACATACACAACCAGCCAAAAGTCTGGACATGCACAACTTATTCTTTATTTTTTACTCATTTTAGAATAGTAGTAATCTTTAAAACGTTTGGATTTTTTTAAAGAAAAAAACGAAATTGTATATTTCTGTCCTGTGCTGTTCATTTGAAGTTTCTATTCATCAAAGAATCCTGAAAAATTATTATATTATGGTTTCCACAAAAGTATTAAGCAGCACAACTGTTTTCAAAATTGATAATAAGAAATGTTTCTGGAGCAGCATATTAATCAGCATATTAGAATGATTTCTGAAGGATAATGTGACACTGAAGACTGGAGTAATGACTGCTTAAAAAGTCAGCTTTAACATTTTAAAAATATAAAAAATTGTATTTTAAATTGTAATAATATTTCACAATATTGCTGTTTTTACCGTTTATTTTTGATCAAATATATCTTTGGTGAGAGCATAAGAAACTTCATTTAAAAACATAAAAAATCTTACCAACTCCAAATTAATGAATGATATGTCGCTTTGGAAAAAGCATCTGCTAAATGAATAAAAGTTATAAAAAAAATTGTCTTTTATATTCCTGAAATTATTTTATTTCTTGCAAAAAAAAAAATTGAGTTATGCATCATGGAGCCACTACTGAGCTGTTGAAAAAAGAAAAACACTTTCAATTGTTTGAAAGGTGCTACATGGTGTTAACTGAAACGACATAATTAAGTACATGAAAAAAGTCCATAAAAACTGCATAAAAGTGTCAGTGCTTCATATGAACAAGTGGAAGTTAGTTGGAAATGTTATTATAATGATTTCCAACAATTGTATTACCATCCGCATAATTACAGCTGCTTCATAGTGTCATTTCTTCAAGTGAATCCATCTTTCTAGCCAAGTACCTAGCATCAATTAGACGTTTAGACAAAAAGGATTTTAATTGTGCAAAATGTATACTGCAGAAAACACATTTGGAAAATAAACAGTTAGAGCTACAAAATGATAATTCATCAAATTGAAACAAGCATCCATTTGAATCCCTCTTTATTGATATATTGAATCGAGACCATTAGCGTAATGTTTATAACCGGAGGTTCTTATCTACACTAAACACTTTAAACTCCTGACAATGCTGTAGTTAGTGTTTAGAGCTGTAGTAATTAGCTGTAGTTCTTGTTCAGTTTGCTTATACATCTCTCTTGTGGGTTACAGAGCTTCTGTTTCCGTCTCAAGAGGACGTTTGAGGCATATAAACCTAAGTGGTGTAAAGATCATGAAGAGTGGTCCCTTTACCTGTTCTCTCCTCAGAACAAGTAAGCATTTGCCATCTCCAACAACAACTGGCCAATTACTGCTTTCCTTTCAAAGTTTCACATTCAGTTTTGAAATGCAATATTGTTATACAATTCTGTCCTAGGTTTCGGATGATGTGTCAAAGGTTAATTTCTCACAAGTTGTTTGATCATGTAGTCTTGGTATTCATCTTCCTAAACTGCATTACCATTGCTCTGGAAAGACCCTCTATTCAGCCATCCGTAAGTTTGCTTGAGTGCAATCATGGCCATTTGCATCTAATATTTGGTGTTGTCATGCTTACTGGATGTACGATACATTATGTCCTTTTGTTCTTCATTTCAGGAGCGAAAGTTCCTCAGTATCTCCAATTATGTTTTCACTGTGATTTTTGTTGCTGAAATGACTGTGAAGGTATGGTACAGGTTTTTTCTCTATATATAAGGAGTATTCATTCCACAAAACACTCTTACAGATGTGATATGGCTTGTGTTAAAGGTGGTGGCCCTCGGCTTCTGCGCCGGGAAGCAAAGTTATCTGCAGAGCACCTGGAATGTTCTGGATGGGGTGCTGGTCTCTGTCTCTCTCATTGACATTCTGGTCTCTCTGGCCTATACTGGTGGAAACCGAATCCTTGGCATCCTGAGGGTTCTTCGTCTGCTGAGAACTCTGCGGCCGCTGAGGTGAGTCAGCGAAAGGTCACAACGCGCCTGTCTGAGGCTCAAGCATTCAATGAAATCCGCTACATGGTCATTGCTCCAGTTAAGGAATAAACTGAAGGTTAATTATGTGGTTGCATTATCTCCTGAGTCTACACGCTAAAAGCCCCTTCTCACTTATCGATTCAACTAAAGCTTTGCCAAATGAAGTCTATTATCCTTTAATTATTTGAGAGGTAAGACTAAGCAGAGGTTTATCGATCTTAAAGGTTTGTACCAGACAATTGTACCATTACATAAATGTTCCTGGAATTCAAACAGGGTGAAATAGGTTGCGCCTTTGTTTTTTCACATAAATAGAGTGATTAGTCGTGCTCCTGGACTGAAGCTGGTGGTGGAAACGCTAATAACGTCCCTGAGGCCCATTGGGAACATTGTGCTGATCTGCTGTGCCTTCTTTATTGTCTTTGGCATTCTTGGAGTTCAGGTAATTGCTTCAAGTGCTACATGCTTTTCAACAGAAATGTGAGGGATTTTCAGATAACGCAGTTGCGATATTATCAATTACAGCTCTTCAAAGGAAAGTTTTACCATTGTGAAGGTGGCGACACCAAAAACATCACCAATAAGTCTGATTGTCTTCAAGCAAACTACAAATGGATTCGGAGAAAGTACAACTTTGACAACTTGGGACAGGTAAGTGTTATTCATTGGTTTGGACACATTTAAAGCGATAGGTCATTAATTACTCACCCTCATGTCGTTCTAAACCCGTAAGATGTTCTGTGCATCTTTGAAACACAAATGAAGATATTTTTGATGAAATCTGACAGCAACACAGCTACCATGTTCAAGGCCCAGAAAGTTAGTAAGGACATCATTAAAATAGTTAATGTGACATCAGTGGTTCAACTGTAACATTATGAAGCTACGAGAATACTTTTTGTGGCAAAGAAAATGAAAATAACTACTTTATTCAACAATTTCTTCTCTTCCCTGTCAGCCTTCGATGCACGTTCACGAGAGTACCACAATGCATGCGTGCAGTGCTGCTGATGCAGGAGCCGGCGTTCTGGCGTAGAAACCGGATGCACTGAGACTTGTTTGCAAAGAGAGGAATGCATCGTGGTACTCTTGTTAATGTGCATCAAGGACTGTCACAGAAGAGAAGAAATAGTTACATTACTTTATTTCATTATTTTTAGGGATGCACTATATTAAATTTAGATAAATTATCGGGCGATATGGGTGAAATTGACATCATTTTTATTGCTCCGATAAATAAATGAAATCCGATAAAGTACTCTTGCTGGTAAATGAATCAATCAGTCTGATTTTTCCGAGATTCATCTACCTTCCGAGTTAAAAGTGACTGCAGCTTTTAAACTGCATCGCGCTCATTACGTCATCACCCGTGAACATGTCTTTTTCTCGGTGGCAGCGGAGGACATTACCATTGCTATTTGCAAAGCATGTTCAGCAAGGATTTCGAGAGGAGGAAAAAAGGTTAATACAACAATACGTCAAGTTTTAATAACAAATCTTATATCTCACTTGAAAGGTCGTCATCGCGGCGAAGCTGTACTAAAAGAATATGAAGCAGTCGCGGCAGCAGCTACTAGCGCTAAGCCCAAGTCAAATAAATCCCAGTTCCCAGACCTTGCCTCACTTGCACGGAAATACCTGTCAGCCCCTTGCCCCAGCATAGACAGTGAACGTTTATTTCCTGCTGCTGCAAATGTTATGGATGAGAAAAAAACACAGAATTGGGTGTGAGAAGTCAGAGATGCCTCTGTTTATCAAGAATCTCCCACTAATGCCCTCATATAACAAATAGAAAAGACAAATAGACATTAAACAGAGACAAGTGAAAATATATATACTTTAGAGGAGGGTAAGACATGTTGAGTAGTGCAAATTGGAAATCATTTTAAGTTTATTATTATTTATTTTATGTTAAACTATATCATTTCAGAGAAATCTCTATGCCATTTGCACTTTTAAGGATGCACTTTTGTTTTTGTTTTTTTTCCGAGGTTGACAAATGTCAATGCATTTTATTTATTAATTTTTTTTTTAAATGACAAAGGTCAAAAGGCTGAGGAAATTCAAAAACCATGCACAATTTGGCACTGATCTGATGTCAGCCTTGGATTGTGCTGGACTGCAGCATGTTCCTGCATGAGATGCCCGCAACACAAAATGCTGCATGACAAGCCAACAGGGGAAGTTTGCAAGGTACATATGGGGTCAGCATCATGGCCAAAGCAGCAGAGCGTCCTGCTATGAATACTCTATATACTGTAGTGTGGTAAATTAATAGAAGTTTGAACTAGTACTAATTAGGACTGTTCATTTAATGTGTTAGTTAAGTGTTCATTTTCCTACAATTTAAGATTGAAGTATTAACGCACCTCGCCAAAAAACACTTACTGATAACAGGCAGCAAAAAGCTGTTTGGCCATCCTCGCATGTAATAATGGTTTTCAAAGACTTTTAAGCTTGAAAAAGTTGCTTTTAATATGTTATGATCATGGCACGATATGTGGCGCAATGGCCAAAAATGTTAGTCTGCATGTGTACTTAGACCAAAGAGTGCGTCCTCTGTGAACAACTGCCAAGTTTACACTACCGTTCAAAAGTTTTGGGTCGGTAAGATTTTTTTATGTTTTTGAAGTCTCAAAAACAAAGTGTCTTATACTCACCAAGGCTGCATTTATTTGATCAAAAATAAAGTAACAGTAAAATGTTAAGTAAAAATGTAATTTATTCCTGTGATGTATCCCATTACTCCAGTCTTCAGTGGCACATGATCCTTCAGAAATCATTCTAATATGCTGATTTGCTGCTTAAGAAACATTTATTACTGTTATCAGTGTTGAAAACAGTTGTGCTGCTTAATATTTTTGTAGAAACCATGATAAATTATTCAAAATATTCAAAAGAACACCATTTATTTGAAATAGAAGTCTTTTGTAACAAATGTTTTTACTGTGACTTGTTCACGTTAATGCTTCCTTGGTGAATACAAGCGTATAGATTCTTTTCTTTTTTTTAAATCTAACTCACCCCAAACTTTTGAACAACAGTATATATCAGACAGGTACAAACTCCATTGCAAAATGGATTGCTATGGACTGTAGGGCAGTGATAGGCTTATGATCAATGACGCTGAAATGAAATTAACAATGTACTGGCTTCTAAAGCCACTTTTTATATTCAAGGATTCAGTCCTCTCCTGTTGTGTCTTTGATTTATCTTCATTTGGGGATTTGCTAAGCAAAACTGATAAATGCATTTAATTTAATTAATCAGCAAAGTTAAAGGGCAGGTTCACCAAAAAATGAAAATTCTGTCATTAATTAGTCACCCTCATGTCGTTTCAAACCCATAAGACCTTCGTTCATCTTCAGAACACAAATGAAGATATTTTTGATGGAATCTGAGAGCTGTCTGACCCTGCATAGACAGCAACGCAACTGAAATGTTCCCAAGTCCAGAAACGTAGCAAGGAGATCTGTAAAATAATTCAAGTGACATGAGTGGTTCATCCGCAATTATACGTAGCTACGAGAATACTTTTTGTGCACAAAAGAAAAAAAATAACGACTTTATTCAATAATTCATCTCCTCCGAGTCCGCATCACCCTGTAAACAGCGCATGTTGTTCTGTGTCAGCTGCGTCACACAGATACGCTGTTTCCGTTCAGATCAAATCACAACAACATAAGGAACAGATCCGGCGTGACGCAGCTGACACAGAACAGCATACGTTGTTTTACGTCCAGCGGATATTCTCCAAAATGGCACCAGGGGGATGCGGAGGAGACGAATTGTTGAATAAAGTTGTTATTTTTTTTCTTTTGCGCACAAAAAGTATTCTCGTAGCTACGTATAATTGCGGATGAACCACTCATGTCACTTGAATTATTTTACAGATCTCCTTGCTACGGTTCTGGACTTGGGAACACTTCAGTTGTGTTGCTGTCTATGCAGGGTCAGAGAGCTCTCAGATTCCATCAAAAATATCTTCATTTGTGTTCTGAAGATGAACGAAGGTCTTATGGGTTTCGAACGACATGAGGGTGAGTAATTAATGACAGAATTTTAATTTTGGGGTGAACTATCCCTTTAAATTATTACAATTTTAAATCGATTGAAAACCCTAGTTTTCAAAGGGGTGCATCCAAAGGGGTAAGAAATTTAAAGATAGTGTGGATGCTGGGAAACAATGTTGTGAGAGGAGGCAGTTGCCCAAAGATGGGGGGGGGATGTGTGGATGATGTTGAGTGCTGAACTCAAACATATGTAATATTACATCAAGGCAAGTTACATCATACTATCCAGTTGTGAGACTGAATATGGTTAGTTGCCTGTGGTCTGGCTGTCTGTCTAAATCAGTTTGGTACACTGAGGGCACTATTAGGGTTGTCTGGTTGTGAGCATTACGGAATCTAAGAATGCCGGCCATGATTTTAAGTGACTAAACGAATAAATGTGAAGAAGTGTGTTCTTTGTTTAAGCACCTCGCCTGCCAGGGCAAAGCTTCCTGATAAATGATCTTTTGCATAAAAGCTGACAGTTTTATCTAGTTTGTCACACTTGGCACCTCCAGCCTTTACAGCAGTCAAGGGATTAATTGTGTATGTGACTGTGACTTATAGTACTCATAGCCGAGTCCATAGCAGTTGAGTTTTATTTCCCTGAATCTATTCAAAGAGCCCCTCCATGCATTCATCTGGGATAGATCGAAGGACATCTCACAAAACAGTCCTCAACACAGAGTGCATTTAGCAGGACAGGGAAGAAAAGAAGGCAAATATTTGTATAAATTAAGGATGTCCCGAGCCGATCTTAAGGATCGGGATCAGGGCTGATCAAGCATTTTTTTTAACTGATCGCTGTCAGCTCTCCTTAGCCCGATCCTTATTTTACGTCAGCTGTAATGCCGGTGATGTGCAGTAGGTGGCAGTATTCACTTTCCAGTAGATTTGCCAACCACCATTAAAAGGAAATGAAGACACTCAAATGTCCGTGCTTAGCTGCCATTAAAACCAAACAAAGTATATTTGATGCGCACTTTTGTAATGATCACTCATTCATTTATCGTTTACTTTTATCTGCCTTCAGACTATCTGAGACGTCGTTGTCATAACGCATTGCTATGGGTTGCATCTTCGGTTTTGACGGACAGACGCGTGCTTCATGCTTTCTAACCATATCTCCACTTTTTTACCTTTATGTTGTAATTATTCTGCTTATTGTATATAAAATGCAAGACGTTTACATCAGTAGTCCCATATTCTACAAATGTCTTTATACAGTGTGCAGATATATACATAGAGTATATATCTTATATATGTATACACACACATACACATATCTTTTACGCTCTGCACAACTCTGTATACTGTACATTGGATTGATTTGAATAACTTGTATTTGAATCAAGCATCAAACACTAGGAATATACAAGTATCGGATCAGGACTTGGTATCGACAGATACTCAATGACTCAGATCGCATTGGGGGCACAAAAAGCCTGATCGGGACATCCCTAGTATAAAAAGGTGTTTCTTCAACTGTGGCCATGTGGACTTTCAGAAAATATTTTCATAGAACACATTTGTCATACATCACAGGAGAATTGTTATGAAAATTCACATCACATCTCAGATTGTGTATTGTGCCGAGTAGTATTCTAGTCGAAATCGTGATGATAAAATATTGTTTACAACAACTTAAGGAGATTTACCTTAATTTTCAGGTTCACAGACACACCATGTGTGACGCCATAAGTGAGGGACATAATTTTGAACAAAAATGTATATGCAATAAATACCACAACTGTTAATTTCACATTTGTTTAGATGATCGTAGTTGTGACATAAACAACAAAAACCCCTTTGGACACAAAGGCACCTGAAGTTGAAGAAACATTTCTATATACAATATATCCAAATCACCAATCTGTGGATCCGTTCATGTTTCAGACCTACACGGAATCTGCACCCACAGAAAGCTCAGCGGATTTCCTCAAAATTAAAATAAAATGCTCTACCCTTGAGCTCATTCATTAAATATTTGGACTAATATGCTAGTAATAAATCTTTCAGCTATCACTAAGAGTACAGAATTAATCAGATATTCCCCAAATTCAGATCAGAAAATGTTGAAAACGTCAACAGATTCCATCTGGGCCTGCCATTATCCCATCCTACTGAAAGACATGCTGTTTCGGTGTGCAACTATGTAAGCCTTTCAGGGTGGTCACGAGTGTGGTATCTGCTAGGGAGAGATGTTTCATTTAATGCTTGTGCTGTACTTGCATGTTTAATATCTCTATCAGATATTCAGTAGCGCAAAGGCTTCTCTCTTGTCATATGGTATTTACCTGTAAACATGCTTTTATGGCAGACTCAGAAAGATGGATTCAAACTCAAATCAATTTTATGGTTGCTGTCATGTCCAATATATCACACACAGTACAACTAATCGATGAACAGTCGCCTCTAAGCTCTCCTTGAGAAACACTCGATATGTTCCCGTAACCTGTGCTACTCACAGAAGTCCTTTCATATGTTCTCCCACATACTGCCATGTTTACAACGGCATGTTCACCAAAGCAGCATGCTTGAAACCCATGAAGGCACAGGTGCTGCATGAGAGGTTTAAATGGATAGTTTAGCAATAATATCACAATGGTGGCAAGATAAGTACCGGTCCTCTCTGCAGCAGTTGTCCCCTCACACCCAGTGCCTTTTTCCACTGCATCAGTGATTTGGTTTTTCTGTGTTTACCCTGCACTGACTCTTCTGCTGTCTGTCTGTATGACTGTATCAACAGAGGCCCAGCAGAGACCGTACTATGCAGATTACTCTCCAGCCCGGCTCTACATCCACACACTGTGTACCAACCACTACCTGGACCTCTTCATCACCTGCATCATCTGCATCAATGTGGTCACTATGTCTATTGAGCATTTCAATCAGCCTCACGTGAGTCTACGGACACTTTGAATCTCAATGTGTTTGATCTAGTGATCTACAGTTGCATAAAGCTGCATTTCATCATTTAAAACCAAAAAGAAACAAACTTTAAAAGTGTTTGTAGACGTTCTATAAAATAAATCCCGGGCCAGATTCACAAAAAATTCTTAAGAATAAAGTTACAAATATTTTGTTTTTCAAAAACATTCTAATAAATGTTCTTATATTCTTTTCTTACGATTGTTCTAAAGGCAATTAAAGATAATTACCTTAAGAACTTTTTAAGATTTTCTTGAATCTGGCCCCTAGTTTGATATTTTTATATAATGCAAAGACATTTATGCATTATTAAATGTGGTTTAAGCGTCAAAATACAATTTTCCTGTAAATTGCAGCATTAAAACGGCTGAAATCATTGTTTCTATCTCACACAGTACCTTGAAGAGGCACTGAAATACTGTAACTATGTCTTTACCATCATCTTCGTAATTGAGGCTTTACTCAAGCTTGTGGCATTCGGTTTTCGGAGATTCTTCAAAGAGAGGTATTCTGACCTACTATATGGATCAATAGATATCTAATGTGAATGTAAATACACTGTAAATAAGATAAACAACATACATATGAAGAGTTCATTTGCAAAAACCGATAAACGCCACTTTCAAAAACAATTGAGCTGATTTGAAAAGACGTGCTAGCTGAGAGGCGTTTCGTCAAAGCTAACTAAGGCTACGTCCACACGAAGCCAGAGCTTTCCCTATCCGATCTTTTTTTCCCCCACAAAACGATGTAGTATACATGCCAGACCAGTATGTGGCGCTGTAATTCTGCCACAGAGATGCACTAAAAACGGAGAAGACTTGGACTATGCGCATAAACCTTGCGCGCGGTATACAAACGAACATGGAACAATACATGTATTAATCGGTGTTATACCACGGGGCCGTTGAATGCTTGAATCTGATTGGCTGATGAACGTTCTGAGGCGTGCAATTATTTTCAGGGAAACGCACGGCGAACGTAGTTCCAGGCAGCTCTCTTGACCGCATTACAGTTCCATATCACTTCGCATAGTTAACTGTAATAACGGAGATTAGCATACAGTAGCTATACAGCACACAGGAATTACTGCAATCACACGGGCTCGCACACGCACACTACGGTCACGCAGTTTGTGCAAAAAGGTGTTGTCAGCGCTGCCCTGAAGATTTGATCAGTTAGCCTTCAGATATACTGTAGCAACTTAAAGGCTACACATGACATTTCTCACTAGCGAGGTAATAACAGCGCGGTTTAGAGACGCTGCTGCAGAACACTGTTGAGGGACGCACAGAGGTAGCCTAATTCACACAAGCTCTCTCTCTCTCTCTTTCTCTGTGTGTCTCTGTCTCTCTCGCTCTCTTTCTAATAACTTCATTAATAACTGCATTAGAATGCTATCAACGGCTCAAGCCTCCATTACAGCTTTAAAATTACGTTTTGGAACCAGCAAAAGAGGCGTTGGATGAGATGCGGAAGAAGTAATCCTACTCACAATAGAGATTTAAGTACAAAAACCGGACGAATCCCTTTAAATATCTCATCTGATCGATGTCTTGAGGTGTGGTAACTGTAGTATAATCGGAATAATTGACTCCGGGCCGGTGCATTATTACAAAAATAATGCACACCCGAGGCGTTGTGGCCGCATCACCACCTCGGGTGTCAATTATTCCTTACATATTGAATTTGATTTGATTTTTATGTTTTTAGTTATCAGTTTAATTTTAATTGAAGTTTTTGTTTATAAATATATATATAAACAAAAACTTGAGGATGGATAATTAAGACAAACTTGATGAATCTGTGATATCTTCTTCAGGGCGAAAAAGGAAAATAAAAGCTTAAACGTTTTCAAACGTTACAATGGTGAGGGAAAAGCTCTGTGTGTTGCGTGTAATCACATCCATACCGTTTATGATCACAAAAACAACAACGTTTGTCAGGCATCTACATTGTCAGCTGAGGAGATTACAAAGATTAAACAAGTGTTTTTTTTAACTCTAAAACATGAAATGTGAAGTTACTTTGAAAAGACGTGCTAGCTGAGAGGAGTTTCGTCAAAACTGACTAAAAGTGATCGAGGATGGATAATTTCGACGAACTTGATGAACCTGTGATATCTTCTTCAGGGCGAAAAAGGAAAATAAAAGCTTAAACGTTTTCAAACGTTACAATGGTGAGGGAAAAGCTCAGTTTATAATCACATCCATACAGTTCATGATTACAACACCAACAACGTTTGTCAGGCATCTACATTGTCATCTGAGGAGATTATAAAGATTAAACAAGTGTTTTTTTTAACTCTAAAACATGAAATGTGAAGTTATCTGCTTTTGCTATAAAACAAACTTTTAATATGTGTAAAAAAAATAAATAAATAAATAAAATAAAAAAAGTACTTTCAATGAACTTTAATTTTGTAAATTACCTGTATTTGTTTAAGTTATTATTACTTAATCAAAACAACCCAACTGCAGTTTGATTGATATTACTTGGAATGCGCAGTTAAAAAACGTGATTTCTGAAATAAAAATAAAAATGGAGTTATCGGTTTTTGCAAATGAGCTCTTCATATATTGCACTGAATACATTTCTGGAAATAAAATCCATTTTATACTGATATTATGAAATTATGTGCTAAAATTATTATATATTTACTTACAAAACAATTATGGATTCAAGCTTTATTCATAAGTGTTTATTAGTGTGCACAATGGTATTATTACACTTGCTATATACATTACATTCTCATTATCAATTTAATCCTGATACTAAAGTCTAAGAAGGTCTATGGGGAGTCTTGTCGGTCCCCAACCCCTCAGTGACCTTGTCCCTTATCTCATGCTCTCTTTGTGCATTGGATATACGTGTATTCTTAGATATCTGTAGTCATGCAGTAATTTCCAAGTCCTCAACCCAATAAAGTTAAAGACCCCATCAGCTTTGTGTACAGCATAATATATTTTATCTTCATTCAGATATGGTGTGCACTGATCGAATATTCAAGCCAACAAAGACATGAGATCAAAGCGTGACCGACTCTCACTTAGATCAGACAGAAAAAATAATTCACAATAATTAATGAAGAACTACAATCAAAATATGTATTCTTAAGGGATAAAAGAGGGTGGGAGAGATTAAAAGGAGGATTATGTAAATCACTCTTATGCTTCAGACTTTTGTTCTTTTGGCAATGTTATAAATATAACTGAAATGAACAAAACACTGTCCTAATCAGAAGCGCTGCAACACACCATAAAAGGTATCTTTTCCATGTTAATCAAGAGTTTTTGTCCTAACCAGCCTTGAAGGTGATATGCGACGAGTGACAGTAGATTCTATTTTAGAAATGGTTACTATTTTTATTTGCGACATTGTGGCTAGAACAACATACACACTATGACAATGAGGATCTGAGGTACTGATTATGTGCTTTATTTAAAGGGGTCATATGATGCAATTTCAAGTTTTCCTTTCTCTTTGGAGTGTTACAAGCTGATTGTGCATAGATAAGATCCCTGAAGTTGCAAAGACTAAAGTCTCAAAACCAAAGAGATATTCTTTATCAAAGTTAAGACTCTGCCACGCCCCCCTAAAACGGCTCGTTCTAACACGCCCCCACATATCTACCTCACTATGTGGAAATATTAGCATAATGCGGCCCAAATGTGCATGCAAAGAAAGAAGGCGTGGTTTCAGTAACCGCAGTTAGTGTTGAAGCAGCATGTCAGGGAGACGCTGTGTGTTTCTAGGCGAAAGCAAAAGCACTTTATTTGGCCTTCCGAAAGTAGATGCATTTAGGAATCTTTAAGATCACTTACAACAGAACAGCAATGCATTTTATGGACGACCGTTTCGTGAACCTAGATGAGGAGGTCATTCTGACTTTGCTATGACAATCTGGCTCTTCTGAATCAGCTACTGTTTTGTTATTAGTTTGAGTATTTGCTATTGACTGTTCAAATGCGGAGTTTTGCGCATCGTGTGTGTGTGTGTGTGTGCAGATATAGACAGAGAGAGAGAGAGAGAGCGGTGTGTGTGTGTGTGAGCGAGAGAGAGCGAGACACATCACAGTGGAGTCAGCTGTCTTAACCGTGGCTTGTGTACTGCAAACACATATTCATCACTGTGTCTGTCACGAGACTCTGTTGCCCTTTCGGGCTCTGTCTTTACATTTATTTTGAAAGATGAAGCTCGCGATTATGGTAAGGGTCGTTACATTTCCGACGAGTGCTTGCGGTGTTCGGCCAATCACAATGCACTGGGTCAGCTGGCCAATCAGAGCAGACTGCGCTTGTCGGAAGGAGGGACTTTGTAGAAAACGAAGCGTTTGAGAGAGGCGGGGCATAGAGGACCTCCAATAATGTACAGTATTTGAAAAATAATGTGTTTTTGAACATTAAAGCATGTCAACATATTCTGTTACACCAAATAATGATCTTTAAAAAAAGCATCATATGACCCTTTTAATGTTAAAAGGGTCTAATTATGAGATCGAACACCATTTTGTGTGACCTTTATTACCATACTGAAAGCGAGAGTGGATAATTTACCTCAGATCTTAAAAAATGAATTAAAAGAAATAAACTTCCACACCAAAGATGGTATCAGTCACTCATTTGTTAAAAGTGCAGTGTGCTTGCAGAGAGAGCCCGCTCATGTGCTCTTCTGATTGGCTGTGATTGATTGTTGATTGATTTTGTTGCATCCCGTAGCTAGGATGAGTCTGGTGTGGACAGACAAATTGCTTGTTGCTTGAATCTTATTGCAGTGTGTTTGGTTCGGACGTAATCATGCATTTTAATCCTTAAATATATTATGTATATTATCACAGGGCAACTTCACTATCCTCAGTAACACATTGTAAAACACTTTTGTAATTAAGTGTGATTAAGTCATGTTTTAATATGTGGCGTCTGATGTCATATCATGCGTAGGGAACGAGATTAATCATTTGTTTCAGTTAAATGAAACATGCTAAATTAAAAGGAGTCATGATCCCTGTTGCTTATCATTAATCCCACAATAGCACATGTACAGGTGCAGTCAACAGTATGTTGTTCTATTTTCACTATTTGCTCATAAATCTGTGTACGGTTTGTTTGCTCAGCTTGCCTAATGCTCAAAAACCGATTAGCTAAACGATGCTCGCTGCTGGATGCTGTATTTTAACGGTATGATGTTGTAATGTGCTGGCAGATGGAACCAGCTGGATCTAGCCATAGTCCTGCTCTCTATCATGGGCATCACCCTGGAGGAGATCAAGATGAGCGCAGCACTGCCAATCAACCCCACTATCATCCGCATTATGAGGGTGCTGAGAATAGCCAGAGGTCCTTTAATTTTAGCTAGTTAACAAAAAAGTTATTTGCATGTTCTATTACAAATAGATTTGTGGGATTTGATTTGTGCCTTTGCCCGCAGTACTGAAGCTTTTGAAGATGGCTACAGGCATGAGAGCCCTGCTAGACACAGTTATGCAAGCTTTGCCACAGGTAACTAATGTTGTGTGTTTTTACATTAATTCATTCATGTATTTATTTAATAATAAATATATATTTTTATAAAAAAATATTTATATTCTTTATGATATTGTATTTATATTTGTTATATTACATTTATGTTTATACATAACTTGTTAAAAATAATTAATTTTGTTGTATATTATTTAACATGGCCAAATACATTAGGTTGCACAAATGTACTTTTACACACATTTAATTTTATGCTCCAATTCTTGCTATTAAGTAACTCTTAACTATGACTTTTGCCTCAATACACTCCTAAATACTGCCTATTTTAAGTTAGTAAGGCAGTTCTTAAGTTTACGTATTGAGCAAGATTTAGGGATGTAGAATATGGTCATGCAGAATATGTGTTTTATAAATACTAATAAACAGCCAATATGCTAGTAATATGCATGCAAAAAAGCAAGTAGTTAATAGTGAGATTTGGTCCCTAAACTAAAGTGTTCTCGAGAATAATATTGTAACAGCTAAAGTAACTCTAATATATACTGTACAGTGTATTATAGACAAAACATTACCTGACAAAACATTTTTATACACACATATGCTGTGTGTGTGATTTTGCTTTAAAGAGATATAGATGTACTGCACAATTGCATTTGTTTTTTGTCTTTGTGTGGATATGTAAGACATGGGGGAGGACAGAGAAAAAGTTGGAGATAAAATATCTATAACATGATGTTACTCCCCATGATTGATTGTTTAATAACATACTGTGATAATGCGCTTCCTCTCTTTAGGTGGGAAATCTGGGCTTGCTGTTTATGCTCCTCTTCTTCATTTATGCGGCACTTGGCGTGGAGCTTTTTGGGAAACTAGGTCAGTGCTGCAATCCTGCTCAGTTCATACTGAGCTCTCCATTTCACAGTTCTAGCGGCTTTGCTGTACCTTAGCTGCCACTCTCATTTTTGGATTAGAAATGCTTAAATTTGGTCCCCAAAGGCATGCTTCAGTTCTCTTACAGTATTAGAGCTCTCCTTAGAATACGGTGCTGTCATAATGGGAGAAGAACCTAAATTAGCTCTGTTGATCTTTGGAGCTTGTTTCTGCAATGGCAGCGTTTTTGTAAGATAGCCTCTAGGCTCAAATAGACATTTCTATGCTACTTATATCCCTGCGAGAGGCCTCTGGAACACGAATGACAGGATTATGCTTTCTCTTAAAGGGCAAGCACTCTAATTACTTTCATTAGCCTTCAACTTTAAAATCAATCCTAATTATTGTGTCAGACGTGTCTGGGGGTAACAGCTCATTTGCTTCTTTAATGGTAATACAGGGGACTCTGTCAGGTTATCTCCACTTTTAGCAACACATTCAGTGATAGTCTAGCTATGCTTTTTGTGTATAATAAAGAATTTGACTGTCATCAAACTATTATTTACCTATGTTTTCATCTAGAATGCAATGACAACAACCCATGCGAAGGATTAAGCAGACATGCTACATTTGAGAACTTTGGAATGGCCTTTTTAACATTATTTAGAGTATCGACGGGGGACAACTGGAATGGCATAATGAAGGTATACGGTGCAGAAAGACTTTTCATTGGTATTTTTCTAATTGCATTGAGAGTGTTTTATAGGTGCAGTTTTATTCATGAACGTGTCACATATTTGCAGGACACTCTGCGAGAGTGCCTTCCAAATGAAAGTAACTGCTTCAGCTATCTGCCCCTGGTTTCCCCCATCTACTTCGTCACCTTTGTGCTAATCGCTCAGTTTGTGCTGGTTAACGTGGTGGTGGCCGTACTGATGAAACACCTGGAGGAGAGCAATAAGGAGGCTAAAGAAGATGCAGAAATGGATGCTGAGATTGAGATGGAGATGGAAATGGCTCGGCGTCTCAGCAACATCTCAGCAGGGAGCTCTTCAGGGCCGGAAGGAAGGGCAACTTATGTAGGACCACACCCGCAGAAGCATAGACAGGTATACATGCCACGGTTTGCCCCAAATGACGCAGAATTCATTAATAAACAGTGTCGAAAAGAAAGAATGTTTTTAGTTAAACCATGCATTTATGGTTTCATGGTATTTAAGTATAATGAAGGGTTTTCAAACTGGGATCTGGGGAACTCCAGGGGGCTGCAACAGAGTACTAAGGTATATAATACTTAATATTTTTCTTTATACATTAAAATATATACCTGCCTTTATATTTTAGTTCTTTCATTGGGGGATCATTATATTTGGGGGTCCTTGACAAAAAAAGTGGTATAATGAACTGGCAATAGTGTACGAAACTTTATCCCATTTGTTTTCTTAGTTTAGTTCTGCACTTACTGAGCACCATTAACTCTATAAGGAGCAGCCTGAGTTAGCTGCGGGCAACAGAATTGCATTTGTGTTTTATTGGGTGCTGAGTTGTCACAATGCAAAGAAAATATGCTGAGGGGATGTGGACAGTGAGAAGTGAGGCTCTGCGGGGAGGCCAGGAACATTTGTTACCCCTCATGGGCTGCTCTGGCAAGGAGTGTATTTGCTTTGTCAGCTGCAGCGAGCTGGTGAATGAACCTGGCAAGCTTGGCTCTAGGTGTTTATAGGTTTGTGAGTTTATGTATGAGGGCAAAAGCAAAAGAATACATTTCTCTTCCGCAGGATGAGGGGATGCAAAGAACACAGGAGAATTTGCTCTCTCCACGGAAAATGTCAGTGTCAAGGATGCACTCTTTGCCCAATGACAGCTACATGTTTCGCCCTGTGAGGCCAGCCAGTGCTCCTTATCCACTGGAAGAAGTGGAAGCCAGTCAAGGGTACCTTGAATTAGGTATAAAGAATCAGAGTACATGACTTTGTGTATTAATAATTACTGATCTCGAAAGGGGGGAAAAAACGTATGAAAAGTCTTCATTAACCTTTCCTGTAGGCTCCATCACCTCAGTCCACTCCCAGCCATGCGAAAGCCATTCCCTGCTCCAGGTCCCCGGTGTTCCTCCCCATTCCCAGTTCAACTACCTCCCCAAGATTCCCCCTCCCATGCCCTCTCCAACCCACAGCATAGGCAGGACTTTACGCAGACAGGTATACTCTCGCTCGTCCCATCCGTATTAAGTGCTTCACTGTTGTTCAGTGCTTGCAGTTCACGTTGTCCTATGTTTATTCTTTCAGAAGGCAATTAAAAATGACTCCGTCGACGTGCAAAGTTTCGACTCCAAAGACAATCCCAACAGACAGGTAGGAATAACTACAGGCAGCTTCAAGCTGCGTGTTCCTCGGATCACCGGACCCAGCATCCCTCAGGGGTCACCCTTGCTGCCCCCACGTGGACATGCCCCCAGTGTCTGCACCTTCCAGCAGCCCCATAGCCAGCACAATATCCCTTCCAGACCTCCCAGCCTGGCCAGCAGCAGCAGAAGCACCAGCCCCAGTGGCTCCATGTTTGATTCCGCCGATCCGACTGACGAGGAGGTCCGCCACATCAACAGCACAGCACGGCTGTGGGTAGGGACTCGGGCAGAAGCCCGGAGTCACTCCCTGTCTCCTTACACCACCTCAGGGATGCTGCTTCCCATCCCCGTGAAGAACTGCAGCAGTGCTGCCAACTTAAGCGTCAAAGACCCGAAGAAGTGCTTCAGCGTGGACAAGGAGGGTTTTCTGGAAAAACCCTATGGTACCGATGACCATCGCAGGCACTCGATTGAGATTTGCTCTTCAGTAGATGATGGGCTGTTTGGTCAAGAACTCAGTGAGAAGAGGCACGTTCCCATGCGTGGACAGTCGTTGTACATTCCCCGGAAGAAAAAGATGAGCCCTCCCTGTATCGCCATCGAGCCCCTGTTTGAAACGGAGGCTCCCGCTTCTCTCGCATCCATGAAAAAGCTGTCGGAGAGCAGCATGCTACTACGGAGGAGGACGCCATCTTATGACCTGGCCCTGCAGAGGGACTCTCTGGATTTGCCAGAGAACCAGCTGTCTACCCAGCCGCTCATCAAAGTAGAGCGGCACCCCTCTCACTGTGCCGAGTATCTGTCCCTGCCGCACCCCACCCCAATGGGTGGACTGGCAGGCATTCTATGTGAAAACACACAGCCGACCCCCTTTGACAGCCGGTTTGAAGAATCCACGGACTTCAGCTCTGTAAACAGGACAGCCCAATGAGGGACATCGGCTTTAGTGAAATTTTACCATCCACACTCAAGGGTGCGGCAACTAGTTGAATGGGGGATGTCGACCTCTTTCTGTAGCCAAAGTTTTCCTTGTTTCTTTTTCAGATGTAATATCATCATGAAAGTCAGCCAGGAATGGCAACTGATCCTAGCGGGGAACAGTGTTTGATCTGACTGTGTTGAACATGGGATATGCAATTTCAGGTTTCCACATGGAACTCTGGTTCTTATTTTAATCCCAGTGCTCAATCACATTGATTTGAGTTCAGGATGTGTAGTGTTGTGTAACATCTGTATCATATTTGTCAGTCTCTCCTCTCTTTGTCATGAGCATCGGTAATGTTTTCTGTAAAGACAGAGTATACAGATTAAAAGACTAATAAGAACTGTACATGTTATGTATTTTATTGACTCATGATGTGTAAATAGAGAACATTGTATTAGTGGAGAAACAAGCTCTATTCATATGCACATATTTTTTATAGAGATCTATAATGTTTTTGCACACATCAATTTGAATTGTCCTCTGTTGTCTTCTTGTGAATGTACATTTTTTAATCAAATAGCTGTGGGATCAATTCTAGTCTGTTAAGGCCTACTGATATTGAGATGATTTTTATTTTTCTATTGGGAGGACGGGGTGTGTCGTATAATATAGATCCAATGAGAACCAAACTCCAAATGATCTGTAGCCTGAGTGCAATACACTATAAATGTTTCTGTAAGTTTACCCAGTTAGGTTACTCACTTTTTAAGCAAACATAGCCAGTAACGTGCATCTCACATACACAACCCTTTACCATACTCAGGTTCATCTCAAAATGTATATTACGATTTCTGCTACACTCTACATTGTAACCAAATTTAACCAGAAAATAACCTATTTTAACATTTTGTGGCCCTTGGCTGTGGCACAAGTTGCATGTGAAGGACAGAGTAATTCAAATGTAAATGTGACCGTTTCTCCTGATGTTCAAACTTTATCACTGTCAAAGCAGAAGACTTGAGGGAGTTTATATCAGCACACGTCTGATCTATTTTTTGATCTGCTCTGCTTTGAAATGGCACCTCTGGGTTTGTGCCCTTGTGAAACAACTGTTTAATGAAAGGAATGTTTTTATTTGTTTTAGAAGTGATCAATGTGATTTATGTATAGTTAAACTAAGCCATGATGTTTTTGGCAAATCACAGGTAAATGACACCTGCAAATCCTGCTCTTTAAATTATATAAATCACACAACTACATATCCAGTGTCATTAATGTATCACCTGAGATTTAAAATAGTTGATGCAGCTTTTGTGCTAATTTACTTTTTTCCTCCATTTATGATTCTCCTCAAAAGATGGAGAGGGAAAATCAGTTGCATGTTATCGAGAGATTTAGAAATACAAACATCTGTATGTTTTTGACATTTCAATTTTCAGATATTTTCCATTTGTAGACTTATTATTTAATTGCACTGAGATGTAATTACAAGGTATTCCTCTTTGTAGAAATGAGTAAACCCACTTATTGTTGTCTAATGCAATATTTTATGATAGCCTATGTTGAGATGAGTGCAAGAGGTTTAGAAGTTTTAGCAAAAATCATGGATGATTACAATTGATAAAAGTATGTACTCTGACAACATAATCAGACATCAATTTAACATTGGACTTTGAGACAAATGTGTGCAGTGTTTCATGTATCTTACGGTACTAGATCCATGTTTTTGCAAGAGGATTGTTGAGTTTTTTTTTTTTTAATTGTTATTGAATAAATGATAGAACTGTATGGATGGAGTAGTATATAACTGCTTAAAGTGTTTTAATCACTTTGGGCACATGGACAATCTTAGCGGGGTTTTTTTTTATTTAATATGAGCTTTTGCCATTAAGCAGCCTAATGTCCTTAACCCTTCAATAAATAATCAAAGCATTTTCCTCAAGCTTTCATGATGATATCCTTCTCTCTTCTTTATGTAATGCAAAATGTCTGAAATTATAATTATTTTGGTTTTGATATGACTTGGCTGATGAAGAAGTGTTTGAAAAGCTATATACACAATTGTATTTTTTACCTTTCTACACAATCTGAGGGATATTCTCTCATCTACAGATAATCATTTTCTAGCAAAAGGAAGATGTGTAATTTGTTTTTAAATTTATATAGACAGTTCAATAGTATGTTAATATATTAAACTGTCCCTAAAAATGTTTTTTCAATCAGATGCCATTTGTCTTGTTTTTAACGAGGGGCAAACAAGCAAAGATAAGGTAAAAAAACAGAGCCAGTTCAGACCCACCAGCTTTAAAAGTGTAGCTTAAATGACACCATTCTAAACTTTCTCCATACCGAAATCTCAGATGGCTAGACAGGGATTCATCTTTTATGAATGGTTAAAATTGTGTCCAGGAGCCTGTGAACCTATGAACTATAGCATAGCTCATAAACAGCTGTTGAGATAATGTTCTCAATTGAAAGAAGTAGAGACTTGGACTCAAAAGCAGTATGATTCAACCAGTGGATATGTTCATAGTAAAGGAACTGTTAACTCACACATTTCACCTGTATGCAGACATGCATTGTCAGGATCCCAGACGTAGATGCAAATGTAGTAACTACACCATCTGGCAAAATACATCTATATAATCTTTGGGGTTTTTTTGGCAAAAGTGGCTGAGTATTCATGGACACATTACATGACATGTAAAATGGATGTAAGCAACATTTTGCAGACTGCAAATATTTCATATTAAAGTAGAGTACCCAGCTGAAATGAACATACGCAGTCTGTTGTCTTTCATACTTTAGGATATTAGTCACTACTAATAAAGGGTTTAGTCATTATTATTATTATGGTATTTATGTCTGAGGTTACTGATACATTAAGCGTGGCTGCAGAACTGAGCGCCCATGATCAGAGGCGCCATAACGGGGGAAGGTTAGGACGATTCCAAGGGCCCCACGAAGGAGAGGGGCCCGGAACGTGATGGGCCCAAGTCAACATGCTATTCAGGGGGTCAAGAAACCATAACGGCGCCCCTGCCCATGATTAAAGATTATGAATTAGGTACTTCTGGGGATCCTGCGCCAGCCGAGCAACTGCCATTTAAAATGAACGAGAACGCGAACGGTATAACGGAAAGCTGTCCAGATATTATGGACCGCTTTGTGATTCACTCACTCGATTCAAATAAGTGTGTTTTGAAGAATTTATTTACACTCTTACACTCCAGTCGTCGAAGGTAAGTAAAGTAAGGTAACAAAGTCAAGCATAACAACGGATAAAAAGTATTGAAGTCTCATGAACCTCGTCCAAAAAGCCAGAGTAAGGTGACTGAAATTCGCTGCTTACCTTACTAAAGTATTTTTAAATTATGATAAACGAATATGAGATAACCAAGTTACCACAGATTTATTATCAGCAACACTGTGGAAATTTTGGCGGCAAATATTAATGTTTTTTTTGATGCGCTATTCTCTACTTACCTGACTGGATGATAAAAAAAAAATCCTCCAAAAATCCTATATGCAGCTAATTTTAATTTTAATGATTATTCATCTGTGTCGCTGTAATAACTATTTTTGCTTCGCTTTCTGACTGGTCGAAGACAGGAGCAGTATAGCGGAGTGTTGGCGTATGTCGCCATCTACCGGACAGTGGTGAACTTTACACACGTTGGAATAAACGGAACTATCGGTTTTCATTGAAAGTGTTCCACACGGAACTAATAGTGTGCCTACACTCACTGACGGTCGGTCACGGAACGCATTAAAACGCCGTTTTTTGAATACAGGACAAGTAAAAGGACTGATGTAAAATGATTACATTGATTAAGTGGTACGAGCGTCTGTCATATATCCTATTACTACAAATGTATCCATGAATATTAAGGTGTTACTGTTGTCATACAGTAAGTTACACATTTAGTATGATTAGCGTTGGTATTTTTTGGTAGACTAAAACAACGATAGATAGACAGAAGCATCAGGGTGATATATCAACAGCGGCTAGCACTAAAACTGCCATCTGAAGTAGAAGACAGAGATGTAACGTTATCAAACCCCAGGAGGGAGAAAACATGAGCAGCTGTGGGACAAGACAGAGATGGACAGACTCCGCACATGTACAGGTGAGATGTGTTCAGCTCATTGACATCCACAAAAGGGTAGTTTATGAAAAGTACAGTTTTGCATGCTATCAGACAAATAAAGTTGCATTGCGCCAACTCAAGCTACGTGACTACTTTTGAATTCTTTACTATGTACTTAAACAAAATGCTAATTTCAAGATAGTCCCTTACTGACTATCAAAACATGAGATTACGGAGTAAAAAGAGAAGCATTTGCTTGTAAATGAGGAATTATTCTTTGAATAAAGATGGGTAAGTCATAACACACAACTAGAACATTATTTATTAAGTAAAATTAAAACTTTTCATGAAATGGAAAATTCACTTTTCTAAAATCTTGTTCTGGACCCTTTTCACAAGACTGACGCGTTTAAAGGGATAGTTCACCCAAAAATGAAAATGTGATGTTTATCTGCTTACCCCCAGGGGATCCAAGATGTAGGTGACTTTGTTTCTTCAGTAGAACACATTTGATGATTTTTAACTTTAACCGTTGCAGTCTATCAGTCTTATAATGCATGGCAATGGTAACAAAGTCTATGAGTGTAAAAAAAAAACATGCACAGACAAATCCAAATTATACCCCGCGGCTCGTGACGACACATTGATGTCTTAAGACACGTAACGATCGGTTTGTGCCAGAAACCGAACAGTATTTATATCATTTTTTACCTCCAATACACCACTACGTCCAACTGTCTTTGGGCGCGCGCACGACTTCCTGTGCGTAAGATGTGTACGCGCTCTGGCGTAGTTTACGTTAATGGGTGTTGTCGCGGGAGGAGCAAACGACAGACACCATTTATTAACAGAAAATAAACAAAGTGTCCAGAAAAAAGGGAATCAAGTGTCCAAAATAAACAGGGGATCTGGTGTCCTCGTCGTGCTGCGGGGTTCGTGAAGGGAAGGGCAGTGGTCAGGAAGGAAGGGTCCAGGTAAGGGGCGGAGTCCGGCGGCCGCGCGCGCTCCCCTCTCTGGTCCGGGGCGCGAGGAGCGGCGGCTTCTATCAGCAGCTTCGTCCTTCTCTCTGCTCACGGCACGCTTGAAGGGACTAGACGGCCCAGCAACCATAACTTCAGGCGAGCAGGCTCAGAAGTCAGTTTGAACAATCCGGATAAGCGCAAGTAAGTACCATTTTGATTAGCCGTCGTACCTACAATGACTGTGCACTGTGTAAACAATGAGTGACGTATACACGCGAGAGATCACTTCCGGAGCTTGCGTAAACTACGCCAGAGCGTGTACACACCTTACGCACAGGAAGTCATGCGCGCGCCCAAAGACAGTTGGACATAGTGGTGAATCAGAGGTAAAAAATGATATAAATACTGTTCGGTTTCTGGCACAAACCGATCGTTTCGTGTCTTAGGACATCAATGTGTCGTCACGAGCCGCGGGGTATAATTTGGATTTGTCTGTGCATGTTTTTTTTACACTCATAGACTTTGTTACCATTGCCATGCATTATAAGACTGATAGACTGCAACAGCTGGACTTAAAAAATCATCAAATGTGTTCTACTGAAGAAACAAAGTCACCTACATCTTGGATCCCCTGGGGGTAAGCAGATAAACATCAAATTTTCATTTTTGGGTGAACTATCCCTTTAACGGTCATCAGCATCGTAAATCCTCGAAAGTTTTTCATATTTGTATTTTTTAAAAAATGTATGTACATTTATTACACTATTCTTTGTATTATATCACCTTTGCATCAAATTACAAAAAAAACAGTTAAGGCTCATGCGAGGGTGTTTCTAATGCAGCGTCTATGGGAGGGATGGTAAATTTGACATCGTTCTCTCTTCTGACAGCCGTTATCAGTCTCAATTTTTTTCCTTTTAATGAAATTCATAAAAACACTATCGCATTTTTTTTGTTTTGCTATTTGAGCAAATGGGAATTAAAAATATATATTTGTGGTACTCTTCCATTCACTGCTATTCAAGTTAGCCAAACTATGACGACTTCCGCTGCTGAGAAACCCGGAAATGTGAAAAAGGTCCATTGATCTTACTGTGACAATTCATCTACTACTGTATGCATGTGTGGATTTGTTTTAGTCCATATGTCTCAACCTGTCATTGAAATTACAGACTTTTCTCTGGTGATGAATGAAGGCTTTTCCAATCATTCAGTCTGCTTAAAATCCACCTATACGATAATATCTAGTCATTTTGTACAATTACCAAATGATACTAACCTCTTGAATCTCTGTTGACACTGCTCTCTAAAGCAGAAGACAGCAATGTGGGGCGAAATCCAGCCATGCCCTACACCTAACCCATCTGACAACTGCAATGAACCTGCTGCTCAAGACAGATGTCCTGCTGCTGAGACCGAAGTCAAGGAGGCCCACAACACAACAAGCAGCTCTCCAAATCAAAAGGTGCTTGAGCTGTGCTCATGCAATATAATTCTATACATGAGTCTAACCATGTGGCTCTTGCTTGTTTTCCTCAGGAGCAGCCATCCAGCTGTCTCGGCTCAGTGATCGCGGCTATAGCAGCCAGTGGGAGTCCAGTGAAAAGCCAGCAGCTGGGAGAGCCAGATTTAACTCTGCAGGAGAAGAATGAGGTTTTAATGGATCAGTACAAATCCAAGTCCTCGGTATTTCTGGAGCGCTATCAGGCCCATCTGAAGCCAGGGCACAGAGAGGCTTTCTCACACCTGAGCAGTGACTGCAGATTCAGAGATGGGCATCCAGCACAGCCGACTGGAAACGGGTCCGTAACCATCGTTATGCAGCTCTCCGTGCTCTTCAGAAGGGTAAGAAAGAAATTAAGAGTATTTTACACCTCAAAAGGAATAACAATCAGTTTCATTACCATTAAATTT